TCAAGGGGTGCGGCTGCGGCCGTGCCTGGAGGGAGCGCGGAGTCTGCGGGTAGCCCCGCGGCTCCCGAGGCAAGAGGCAGTGCGGGGCCGGCGGGGAGCTCCGCGGCACCGGCATCAGGGGGCGCAGCTGAGCGAGAGGCGCCAGCTGCGCGATCAGCGCCGGCTGCGGGCAGCACCGCGCCGGTAGCTGAGGGGAGATCGGCGTCGTCGATTCCGATCCTCCCGCCAGGGTCAGAGGACGCTCGGCCCGTGGCCAAAAGGAGTGGACTCAGTCCAGAGAACGGTGGAGAAGCAGAGAATGCTTAAGAGGCAGACGGTTGACGATGCCGTTCGTCTACCACCAGCCCTTGAGAGGCAGATGGCGGTGGGCGCATCTGTTGCGCCGGCCGCAGAAACAGCGGCAGCAGGACAGCAGGGCGCGGGCAGCTCCGCGCCTGCAGAAGTAGGCGGCCCAGAGGGTAACTCTCTAGGGTCCGCCCCGGCCGGGGTGGATGTCAACGGCATAGAGCTTGGCAGTCTAGATCTCGGAGAATATTCGGCAGGTAAAGAGGACCTTCGAGGATTGTATCGTGGACTAACTATGCGAGCGTTTGACTGTGCTGGAGTTGACCTGTCACCGAAGGAACTGGGAGAAGTTGCGAAGCTATCGATGGACCTCGGAGCAGTGGACGTAACTGATGTGTGTTTGCCGCACAGACATTGCGGCTTGGCGGGGGCCATGGGATTGAAGCCGGGAGTTGTTGCAGATTTAGGGTCTTGCAGACCAAACGGACAGCCCTGGGATTTTACCAGAGATAGCGATGTAGCTGAGTGGTTTGAGACGCTGGAAAAAGAAGATCCCGACATCTTGATCGGATCGCCCCCATGCGTTATTGATCGTATATCCAATGCCGAAGGTGACCACAAGCAGATGGCGAAAGCGTTGGATGTTGCTCGACGTTACTTGTGGGTTGCTTGCGAGAGCTACAAGAGCCAGTTAAGGCGCGGTATATACTTTCTCCATGAGCACCCGTGTGGGGCGTCAAGTTGGGCGGAAACCAGCGTTAAATATATATTGGCAGTGGATGGCGTTTTTCGCGTCCAGGGCCCGATGTGCAAATGGGATGAAGCTTTACTAGCTGCCCCAGGTCCTTCAGGAAAACGACATTTTATGACCAACAACGAAGATTTAGCTTTTGAGTTAAACGCAAATCATTTGAAGAAACCGCCGAGCGGGCAGCCCCGCCGCGAGGAACACATATATTTGAAACGCATGGGAGTTCTAGTCTACAGAGCTCGGGTCCACCCTCCTGGACTTGTGAAGGGCGTTCTGAAAGCAGTGAAAAGGAGCATGAGACGAGACGGGCATCTGTCAGCGCTCGGTGAAAACGCTGCCGGGCCAGCCCCGGTCACCCCTGACACTTTCGAGGCGCACCGGGAACTCTTGGACGATCCTGAAATGTATTGGGATGATGTCAACGGCGGCTGGTTAGAGCCGGCGTTGGTCAGAGAGGCCAGGAGGGCCGAAGTAGAGTGGTTACATAAGCAGGAAGTGTATGAGAGGAGGAGCATAGATGAATGTTTGAACGTAACAGGCGAACGACCAATCAAGTTATTGTGGATTGACACAAACAAAGGCGACAGTGTCCATAAGAATTATAGAAGTCGAATTGTCGCGCGTGAAAAGAGAGGGAAAGGAGAGGAAGGACGCGCCATACCTTCTGCGTTGCTTTTCTCGGCCATGCCTCCCCTGGAGGCCGTAAAGATCCTCTCAGCGCGAATGGTGCAGACCCGGATTAGCACGAGAGGGGAATCGTTGAGCATGCGATTCTTCGACATATCGCGGGCGCACTTTTACGGGAGTTGCCGGAAACTGAACAGGATGGGGTCCATTGTGGTATCTTTAAGAAGTCGATGTACGGAACACAGGATGCATCGGCGATTTGGCAACGAGATTACACAGCAGTTCTGCAGGACGACAATCATGCAGCAGGCATAGCTAACCCAGCTTTGTTTTACAAGCAGGAAGATGATTGCCGTTCGCTTGTCCACGGCGACGACTTTTGCGCACTCGGGGGCGATGATGCTTTGAATCGTCTCGAACAGGTTTTGCGCTCCAAGTATGATCTGAAGGTGACTGGCAAGGCTCGGCGCCGGGGAGGACCAGGAAGTGGTCTTCCTTAGCCGCGTGCTCAGGATCACCGGACTTCCGGGGGGGGAGGATTTTGAAGTTGAAGCGGACCCAAGGCACGCCGAGATGATCGTTCAGGATCTCGGCCTGGCATGTTCGAGCGCTAATTCGCTGGACACGCCCGGGCTGAAGAAGGAGGAGGCAGAGAAGGAGCAGCGAGATGCATCGCCGCCGTTGGTAGGTGACGCCATTAAGCTGTACAGGAGTGCCACGATGAGAGCCGCCTATCTGGCGCCCGACCGGGCAGATGTAGGAGACGCAGTCAAGAACCTTGCGAAATACATGCAAGCACCAAAGCAGTGTGACATGTTAAGGTTGAAGAGACTCGGGAGGTACCTCAAAGGGAGGCCTCGGGTGGTCCAGCGTTTCAGGCGGAATAGGAAGATTTCGCCAGATGATCCTGTCAACGTCGTTGTGATGGTTGACAGCGATAATGCCGGGGACAAGGTGACGAGACGCTCAACTGTGGGCACAGTCACTTTTGTGAACGGCCACTGTGTTAAGCATTCGTGCAATCTTTTGCAGGTGATTGGCTTGTCGAGTGGGGGGAACGAGTATTGCGCGATCTCCACAGGGGCTTGTCAGGGCCTCGGGATCAAAGGCTTACTTGAGGATTGGAACATCTCGTCTGCAGTGAAAGTTGTCATCAAATCGGACAGCTCGGCTGCGCGCGGGTTCGCCTCGCGCCGTGGCGTCGGCAAAATGAAGCTTATTCAAACTCGGTATCTGTGGGTGCAACAGAGAATTGCGCTGCGACACCTTGAGCTGGGCAAGGTCGCTACTGCCGAAAATCACGCAGACATGTTAACAAAGCCATTGGCACGAAATGAGCTTGATTACCACATGGATGGGGTTTCACACGTGTGCCGGAAAGGGAGCAGCAGGGGCAACATTGTTGCTCTGACAGCACCGGGAAGCCCCGGATACGAATTCGTAGACGCGGTATCTTCCGAGCGCTGGGAGGACACATGCACGGCAAGCCGAACGCGGGTAGCACCGCCAGCTTGCGAGTCCAAGGCACCGCTGCGCGGAAACAGTGCTTCGCGGGTAGCCCCGCGGGCAGGGAAGGATTGGCAGCGCAGCCACGTGATGCGGGTAACTCCGCCCTGTGTGCTGTGTACATGTGAGATGAATTTGGTTCTTCGCATTGCGTGTGTTTGTATAGTGCGGTCACGCGCGGGTAGATTTGTAAATGCACTACTACTAGGTGGATTTGTAGTCAATCAGGCGTTTCCAACCACAAATAGGTATGATATGTCTCAAAGTGTGGATCGCCACAGCTCCGCTACCTTGTCTTAGCGACGTCTGAACAAGCAGACGCCTGTGTCCGGCGAGCAGGGCCGCACGCAGGCGAGGAGGGGTGATGAAATCCACCCCTTCCTTGTCCACTTGTACTGTCATGCACTGTTGCTTGCTTGATTGCTGCCGCAGCCCCTTTCAGCCAAAAAACATCTTCAAAAGGAGATGCTCGATAACGAGGAACGGTGTGAATGGGGGTTGGACGGGGGCGGTGACTGGGTTGGCGCTGTTTTGGTGCAAAATGAGGCGGTCTCATTGGGGCCCTGGGGAGGTGTGGTCTAGTAGGGGCGGCAGCGGCAAAACCACAGACGAGCGCGGCGAAGACGAAGCATGCGCGGCACTGCCACGGCACTGCCATTGCCACTCGCACACCGCGCGGCGCTCGGGCGAGGTCAACATTCCGCCCGCTCTCGCGCGGCCCCGCTGCCGCCGTCACTTTTCGCACGGCTCGGCCAGCGAGCCATGCGCCGCGCCCGCGCGGGGCCGCTACCTCCGATCGACATGCGCACGGAGCCTGGGCGAGGGCGGTGAGGCGCCCGCTCGCGCGGGAGACCCTGAAGCGGGCGAGCGAGGCACGTGCCGCGCCGCGGCGGTAACGTCACGGGCACGCGAAATCTGCAGCGTGGAAGCAGGGCGCGCGGCACCTCGCGCGGTGACGAAGCGGCGCGTGGCAACTCTGCGCCGCGTGCCCGCGGGCATGCGCCGCCAGAGAGGAGGCACGGCGCCGAGGCGAGGATGACGTGTCTACCGCTCGCGCGGGATGCGCGCCCCGACCCCGCTCCCGCACCGCTTCTTGCAGCGTGGGCGGCACAGTGCCCACGTTGAAAGCCAAGGAGTCGACATTACCTTTTTTTCCTGCAGGTAGGATGGTGTCTCTCGGATCGGCCCTGTCTCGGCCAAGTCGGTGGCAGAGTGGGAGTCTATACCATTAGAGATGGGGGGAGCAAGAGGGCGAAAGAGGCAGAGAGGCGAAGGAAGGAGCTGATTGGATACGTGGGGACTGGGAGCGGGGGGTAGCGGGCAGGGGGAAGACGAGGGAGACGGATGAGGAGAGGTGGAGACATGATGGTTGGGTTGGGGGTCGCTGAGTGGGGGAAGAGGGGTGAATGTCAGGGTGCGGAAGGGGTCTCCTGCCGCTGCTGTGTTTTCTTGCCCTTATCTTGTAAGTCCTTCTCTCTGTCTCTCCCTCTCTCTCTCTCTCGCTCTCTCTGCCCGAAAACCTCTCGTATACCCCCCAGGATGCCCCCTCGATGTTCTCTCTCTCTCTCTCTCTCTGGGCCCCTGACCCCCCCTCAGATTTTGCCCCCCCCCCCCCCCCCCATCGGCCCGCGGGGCCTCCTGGGGCCTTCGGGACTCTCCAGATAGAGGTCCTGGAGGCTTCCGGATGCGTCGGGGACCTCCCACCGAAGTGGCCCCAAGACGCCCCCAATCCGTGAGCTTCGATTCCCCGATTTGGAAGCATGCCTCCTTGCTGCGACCGCTGCCGCTCCTCCACCCTCTGCGCGTTTCCCCTCCCCCCCTCTCTGCGCAGGCTGCTCGCAGTGCTACGACTTCGCCGTGATGGACCGCTACCCGAAGCAGCACTACTGCGAGCCTGGGCGCGCCCCCCCCCCGCTCTTCCCCCCTGTCCGCTCTCTGCTGCAGTCCTGGCTGCCAGGTCGGGCCCCCTCGCTCGCTTCGCTTCGCTGCGCTTCCTCCTCCTCCTCCTCCTCCTCCGCCTCATCCTCCTCCTCCCCCCCCCCGTCCCCAGACATGCTCGGTTGGTTTTTGGCCACTTCGGCCCCTGGTCCGCCCTTCGTTTGGGTTACCCCGCGGGCCCTCGTTCGCTCGGGCCTCCACGGAGTTGGCGCGTCGGTTCTGACCCACGCGCAAACAAAGTCTCCCTACTGGTGGTGGTGGTGCTGCTGCTGCTGCTCCTCCTCCCCCAGTTTTTGTCGTCCTCCTGAATGCCCTCTTCCTCGTCCCCCCCTCACTCCACCTAGTCCTTTTCCTCCTGCCTGTCCTCCTCTTCGTCGTCCTCATGCAATTTTCTCTGTCCGCAGCGTTGACCGTCATATGTTTTCTGTTGCTAGCGGTAAAGTTATCAATGCTCTCAGGAGCCTTGATATCAGTAGTGTGTGATACGATCGAGGACGCCAGCGGCGCATTACCAGCCGCCCTTCGGTAGTTTGTCGGAGAAGCGCGCAGCGTTGTAGTTTCGTGGCGTTCAAACACGGGCAACTTGAGGGCTCAAGTGAGCGGTTTCTTCGGGGACATTTCAGCGGGGCTTGGGGCTGACTTCGGCGGCCTGTTGAGGGCTTCACGTGGGCTCTAAGGGGCCTGTTCGAGGTCTGGGGGACGTCTTGATTGCGAAGGTCCTGCCGAATTCACTCGAGCAAGCTCGATAGAATCAGTTTTGGCAGTCTGGGCGGATCTTGGGGCGTTCTGAGGGCTTTCTCAGAGCGTCATAGGGACGTTCTGGTGCGTCTGGCCATTTTGGCCTCAGCCATTTTGACTCAAACCGATTTTGATGCACATTGCAAGATACTCCTGTCGGTTTGCGCCAGAGTAGTGCTCTCATCGTATGCGTTGCTTCCCTGCACTTCTATATCACACCGACGTGTTCTTCGGGTGCTAGTGGTGCCCTGTGCGTGCCAGGAGATGCTTGTTCTTCATGATCACATTCAGGAGCGATGACCCCTGGGCCAATGATGGCGAGGCATCGTTCTGGGCATGGTCCCGACTCCCCTTTCACCATCCTCCGATGCCAGGCGGAGGCCGATGCGGAAGGGCACGTGCCGATCGAGCTGATCATGCAGGACGCCTCTCGCCACCTTGACGACGCTGGCGCTGCTTCGAGCGCGGTGGAGCCAGTCATAATGGCAGGCATCGCGGCTCTTCTTCAACAGCCGCTCGCGCCAGTCACCCCCGCGGCGTCCGACTTCCAGATATTGTCTGGGAGCCTCAACTGCAAGGTCGCAAACCTCGGGGAGTTTCTGCAGCCGCTTTGGGAGACGCGTAGTGTAATTAGGCGAGCGTCAGCTCCACAGAGATACGGCCGAGAGGCTGGCAAACATGCGTGAGGCGCTGTCCAAGAACGTCCCAGGCGATGTTGCAGTCGAGAGGGGATCCTAAGGAGGCTTTTACGACGACGTCCCCTCACTCCGACCCAGCTCATCGCAGCACTTGTTCTTGAGCAAGAGGTCTGTGAACACGCTTGTCGGCAACCTGCATGGTTTCGGGGAATGTCTCGAACGACTGAGTGGTTGACGGAGCGCCTGCAGCCTAATTCCGCGCTGGTCCAATCCAAGCTCAACGCGAAAGGCGAGCTCAGAGGCATCATCTTCGCGGAGTGTGTTTCTACTAACGCGCGGGATCCAACTGCCTTCGCTCTACGAGGTGCGCTTGTCCACGCCCTCTTAGAGGGCGTGGGCGAGCGCAGTTGAACTTGCTAGCTTGCTCCAGCCTGACTCGGCCCATCGCTCTCGAACTCCGCTTGCATTGGACAATGCAGCGTGGCCGCTTGGATGGGTACTCGCCAGGCCGTCGACGCCAAGATGGAGTGAACGGTTCGCATCGGGGCCGGCTTTGGCCCCACAAGAGGCCCCCAGGCGACCGCAGGTCAGGCGAACATCATTTACACCAGCACTGGTTTTGCGATTATTTTGAAGGTTCCAGTTTGTCGGCAACGTTGCGTCGAAGAAGCTTTTTCTGGGGCCCGTGGAGCCGATCTTGAAGGCCAGACAGGGGACCAAGGTGGCCGACATGGGGCTGCAGTCAATGCGCTAGGCGTGGTTCCGAGGTCCGTGGACTTGCCATGACTGTTGGTCTTTCGATATGGGATCCACCTGGGGCAGGTTTGGCAGTCGGGGTCTTCTCGAGCCCTCCTGGAGGCCTCGGGGCCATCTTGGAGCACATCAGTCAAACAGGGGGAGGTACTTGCCCAACCCCTCTGGAAGCATAGCCTCGCGTGGCCCTCGCAAGACTCTGGGGCGCTACCCGTCGCTTTAGGGCATGTGTGGGCCACTCTGAGGGCTCTTTTGGATCCAACTCGAGCCATCGAGGCCTAAGAGGCCCACCGGAAGCGGCAATCATCCCGGCGAGCGACCGAGCCATGTGCAGTTGCGATTCCCCGCAAGGCAGGCGAGGCGAACGAGAGAAAGGGCGAGCAAACTACGAGTATTATCGGGTACGGCACTCTTCTCGTAGGCAGCCCGCCGCAGAAAGGAGGGAGCACAGGTCAGCGTGGACAGGCGAAGGCGGACGGATCAGGAACTTTGTGAGGGGCGAGGAATCTCGATCCGCGAAAGTGTTTCTTAAGACCTGGCCTTGGAGGGGCATGGGAATCTGTTTTGGAGCCTTCGCTTGAGTTCCCCATGGAGCTACGAAGCGTGCGAGGGGTGTGCCAAAACGACGGGCGGCCGCCATGCGAACCTTGCCACTGGGTTGGGCCAGAGAACGCGTGAGGGGCGTGCCGACATGAGAAGCGGGGGCGCCGTGCCGGAATGTGCGGCGGGGGCGCATGTGGACGCAGCGGCTGGGGCCTTGTGTAGCGCTCAGTATGGGGGGCACGCAGCGTGTAAGGGGTGTGCCCCAAAGTGCGGCGAGGGCGTATGTGAACGCAGCCGCTGGGGCTTTGGGCGGCGGGGACTCAAGTGAAGGCAGCCACGAGGGCCTTCGATGAAGCTTCCTAAGTGGCCACGAGACATGTGAGGGCTGTGTCAAGCTGTGCGGCGGGGGCGCATATGAACGCGGCCGCTGGGGCCTTAGGTGGTTCTCTATGGGGCCACGAAGCGTGTCAGGGGTGTGCCGGAATTTGCGGTGGGGACGCACGTGACCGCTGGCACTGGGGCCTTCGGTGGAGCTCCGTTCGGGGGCACGCGTGTGTAAGGGATTTGCCTCAAATGTGTGGCGGGGGCGCGTGTGAACGCAGCCATAGGGGCGCTGTGCGGCGGGGACACTAGTGAACGCAGCCACGAGGGCCTTCGGTTGACCCCCCTATGCGGCCAGGAAGCGTGTGACGGGTGTGTCAACATGTGCGGCGGGGGAGCATATGAACGCGGTCACTGGGGCCTTCGGTGCCGCCCCTTTGTGGGGCCACGAACTGCGTGAGGTGTGGGCCAAAGTGCGCGTCGGAAACGTAGCCCCAGGAAGCACTTCATAACCCCCCCCACCCCCCACCCTTCATCCGGTCAAAGTATAACGCCTCCGGCACCCTGGAAGCGTTACCTCGGCTTTTGAGGAGCCCACAGAGAGCACCCGGGGCCAAACTTAGCATCTCCTAGGAGTCTCAGATCTTTGGGATTCCCTAGGCAATCCTTTGCTGGTCCGTAACATGTCCTAGGAAATGCGCAGCGTATCCAAAGGCATCCCCAAGGATTTCTTCTTGCGCGTCGCGCGGCGCGCGACGCGCCACGGAATTTATTTGTTGATTTGTGCGAGGTGCTAAAAATATCGCTTTAAATCTTGGTGCGGTGCTAACGATAACCCCGGGGGGGGTTTCTTAAAGACTTCCTCGGTTTATGTGAACGGCGAAGCGTGTGAAGGTGTGGGGCTTTCGGTGGGGCCCCGTATGGAGCTGGGAAGCGTGTGAGGGTGTGCCGAAATGTGGCTGATTGTGGTGGTCACAACGTTGTGGTGTTGGTGCTGATGCTGATGCTGATGTTGAGAAAGATGAGGATGAGGATGATGGTGATGACGGTGATGATGATGATGAAGATGATGATGAAGATGAGGATGAGGATGAGGATGATTATTATGATGAGGCTGACGATGATGATGATGATGATGCTGATGATGATGATGATGCTGATGATGATGATGATGATGATGATGATGGTGGTGCTGGTGATGATGATGATGATGCTGATGATGATGATGATGATGATGGTGATGCGAATGGTGTTGTGGACGATGAAGGTGAAGGCGACGTTGGTGCTGCTGCTGTTGATGACGATGGAGTTTAGATGATGATGCGGATGGTGATGATGGTGATGGTGATGATGGTGATGGTGATGGTGGTGGTGAGGATGATGGTGATGACGAGGATCAGGATGATGATGGTGATGGTGATGGTGATGCTGATGCTGATGATGATGATGATGCTGATGGTGATGATGATGATGATGATTATGATGATGATGATGATGATGATGATGATGATGATGATGATGATGATGATGATGATGATGATGATGATGATGATGATGACGATGATGCTGATGATGATGATGATGATGATGATGATGATGCTGGTGACGATGCTGATGATTACGAATGATGATGACGGGGAAAGAGGGAGGAGGAGGGAGGGAGGAGGAGGGGAGGTGGGGCGTGGGACGCTACTGATTCAAAACGAGAACCCACCTCCACAGGATGATTGGGACACAAACCAGACGGCACAACCTACTGACACCAATTAACCTTCTGGAGGATGTTACGAATCGGATTTTGCACCTCGACATGCCGGGGCCGGCGGATTATTATAAGTGTTTACAGTTTTGTAGTCGTTGTCGTGGTCGCTTTGCTCTGACGCATCAAAATGAGCATTCGTATCTTCCTGTTTCTCTTCCTTCCTCCTCTTCCGTCGCCTACCGTGTTCCTTCCCACTTCTCCAGCCCAGGGTGTTGTCGTCCAGCTTCGCCACCCAGCACCGCCCGGCCGCGCAGTGGGAGTTCGTGTCCGAGAGCGTCGTTGGCTTCTTCAGAAGGACCCCCTCCCACTGGCGCGGGAAAGGGATACACACATGTGTGTAGCTATGCAAAAAACACATTTGTGTACACGTATATGTGTGGATGCTCGCCCAACAGTCTCATGCACAGCCAGCTTGCATTCTTCTGATCCTCATCCGCATCCTTCTGATCCTCTTATATTGGCACTCTTGTCTGCACATCCGCCCCTCTCCTTGTCCTCACGCGCAATGCTCCTCCCTACGATCCTCATCCTACCTGCGCATCCTCCTTCCTCATCCCGCTCCCTCGTCGTCCTCCCCCAGTTCCACTAGCATCGTATTTCTCAGTATCTGAATCCTCGTCTTTCCGCTGCCACCTTGAGTTCTGAAGATCTTCGTCCCTCCGATCATTCCCATTCCACATCCACCTGGCCCTCCTTTTCCTCGTCACTCCCCCTCCTCGCCTCCCGCTCTCTCAGCGTCATCCGTCTCTTGCTACTCCACTCGCTTGCCTTGACTACCACTATCCTTCCCCTCCTCCTCCTCCTCCTCCTCCTCCTCCTCCTCCTTGTTCCTCTCTCTATTCCCCTCCACATGGTTGGCAAGAGGATTCCGAGGAAGATGTGCTCTTCTCTGTCTCAGCCATGTCAGGAAGGAGGGGGCAGCCCGCCTTCCGCACCCCTCGGATGCAGGCGAGATGCTTCTCGCCCGCCGCGACGCCCGGCTGACGCTCCGCAGAGCGCCCCGACCGAACACGTGCTCGCTGCCTGACGACAGTTGGAAGCGGCATTCGCCCTGGAGAGACAGGGAAAGAGAGGGAGAGAGAGAGATCATGCCTTCTCCTCCTACCCCCCTCCTCCGCATCCCAGAATTCCCCCGGAAGCTGCGTGACGAGCCGGGAAGCTCCAAGAATTGCTCAGAGCCTATTCACTTTCTTCCCGCAGATCAACCCTTCTCCTCGGACCCCCTTCCTCCTCACCCCAGAGCCTCCCCGAAAGCTTCTTGACAAACCGACCAGGAACCTCCAAGAACTGCTCAGAACCCGCCCCCCTTCCTCACGACTCCCTCCTCTCCCTCCTCCCCCCATCCCGCGGCCGCCTCCCAGGACCCTCAGACTTACGTGTGTCAGCATTTCCCGGAAGCCTCAGAGAGCCTCCTGAAACCTTCCTCGTCATCTTCGTCCTTGTCGTCTTCCTGGTCGTAGTGGGCGTCGTCGTCATTAGTCGTCGTCTGAGTCGTCCTTGGTGTCATCGTCGTACTCGTCGCCGTCCTTGTCCTCTGAGTCCTCGTCTTCTTCCTTGTCTTCGTCCTCGCTGTCGTCGCCTTCGTTCTTGTCAAGTGTGTCGCCGCCGTCGTCATCCAACTCGTCGTCCTCCACCTCGGCGTCCTCCTCCTCCTCCACCCCTTCTTCTCTCTCCACACATATACACCCTCCCCCTGATGCTGCGCGCCCCCACGGAACTCCCGAAGACCCTCTCGGACTTATTCCCCTTCCACCCTCCGTCTTCCTCGCCGTCGCCGTCGCCATGTCGTGTGGAAGTATGTTTCCGATCACCCCGTGGCGTTGCCCGATGCTCGATATTCCTGACCCTCGTCGCCGTCGTTGGCGTCGCCGTCCTCGCCGCCGCCCGCAGCCTTCGCGCCGTCGCCGTCTTCGTCCTTCTCGCCGTCCATTCGCTGCCGGCGACGGCGGCGACGAGGGCCGCCCGCGGTGCCCCATCGCTCCTCCTCCTTCCTTCTCCTGCCTCCTCCCTCCTCCTCCTCCTCCTCTCCCTCCTCCCTCCTCCTCCCTCCCTCCTCCCTCCTCCCTCCTCCCCTCCTCCCTCCTCCCTCCTCCTCCTCCCTTCCTCCTCCTCCTCTCCTCCTCCTCTCCTCCTCCTCATCCTCCTCCTCTCCTCTCCTCCCCCTCCCTCCTCTCTCCTCCCTCCTCCCTCCTCCCTCCTCCCTCCCATAATGCCACCGTTGCACTTCCACCACCACCTCCCCCCTCCTCCTCCTCCTCCCTCCTCCTTCCTCCTTCCTCCTCCT